ACACAGACAACCCCGTGACAATATGCGTTTTGTACTGCTGTTACGCAGCACAAAACGCATAAAAAGGGACTCGAAGAAAATGCAATAAAATGCGATAAAACAAATTCGAATGTTTACCTTTGGCTCTAGCAATATGATAACTAATTTCGCTTCCCAGGACAGCAGCGCCAAAATGTGCCGCAGCAAGCAAAATGCCACCTAAAAAAAACATTTAAAAAAATTTTTTAAAAAGCATAATTTACAGGAAAAAAGTGCGCATGGGCCTAATCCAAACCAAAGTCAACTTTTATTCGCAAAAAAAAGAAAAAAAAACAAAGTTTAAAACTCACCAGTTCCACAAAATGGGTCCAGAACAAGGCGTCCATTGTCCGCTTGCGCAATATTAGCTTGTAGAAATGACAGTTCTGGATCCATTGTCGTATTACCAATGTAACATCGACTGGGCAAAGAATAGTGATTTTTCAGCTTCCACTGTCCGCATCCCACCTACGATTTTCAAAAAAAAAATTCTCTTAAATCGAATAAAAACGTGAAATAACAAGAAAATTAAAGAAATGAGGCCGAAAGACTGCCAAAAATAACAGATGTGGAGGAGCAACAGTGCCACAAAGGCACCAACGGCAGATTTATGTCCATATGAATGTATAAAAATTGTCTTTGCGGATTTCTGGACCTCCGTGACGCAGGAAAAGATGCTTTTCAAGAAATTCATATCGAATTGTGATTATTAGACGCATGTTTAGTCACAGCAGCAAATTTCGAAAAAAAAACATGTGTTTAAAAATACCAGTTTTCCAAAGTAGAGCTTTTGAAGCGAGACAGAATCAAATTCTTCGATTACATAGAAAACATTCCGAGGACTGCTTAAATTCACTTGTGATTCTTGAAATCCAAGTGCTTCACCGATCTTCTGTAAAATATAATTTATCAAAAACAAAATGATTTATCAAAAATACAATTTGTCAAAATCTTCTATAAAATATAATTTATCAAAAACAAGGAAAATGAACGTTACTGAAGCACCCAGACAAGAATCATTTGCTACAGTTTCACAGCTTTGACGGGATTGGAAATTCTAAGAAGTACAATTTCAGGCAATCATTTGCTCCCCTTCCCACAGTGAAAGATTACGTGTCATGTACCAAAAATAAGAAATATGGGATTTCCACAAATACTGGTGTTTTTGACATTTTTTGCAAATTACTGAAAAAATTTCGAGTAAAGCACGAAAACTAGGAACTAAAGCTGAATTCAGACTTCCCCCAAGACGAATGAGGAAATACTAGTGGATAACTGGTGCTGGTTAGTAAAATTTGGACTATAACTCACTCGGAACCACAAAAATCCCGTCTAATAAGAACTGATGAAGATGGCCAGCACAAAAAAAAATATAGCACACAGAAAAAAGCTAATATTTCACCTGAGCAGTATTCTGTTCACAGGCGTGTTTTCTCCCTCCCACTGTTCGTATGCGTATTGCAAACGACTGATCCGCTGAGTCGTACTTCTAAAATAACAAGCATTTACTTCAGCATCCTGATAAGATATATCTTTTTATCGCTGTATGTATTCCTTCTCTTTGATTATTTCCATTTTACCATTATATTATGCGTTTTGTGCTGTGTAACAGCATTACAAAACGCATATTGTCACGGGGTTATCTGTGTTTGTGTTTCTGTGTGTCCCACATTTTGTCTCGCACTTTCAACTGAGGAACCACAAAAGCTAGGCGACTGAAATTTTGGTGTAGTGTTCCCCGCCAGCGCGTGACGCGGCAAATTTAAATTCAGCCTCCCCGTACCCGCAATTAGCAAGCACGGCCCCGTGAAAGTACTTTACGGGTAAATTAATATCTCGGGAACCATGGAGCCCAGGAGGCTGAAATTTTAGGGTAATGACCCCTGCCCACGCTCGATCTTGCCTATTCAAATTCAGAGTTCCCGCGCTCTTGAGTATCACCTACGGCCTCGCGAAAATTCTCCCCAGTAAACTATTAACTCGGGAACCACGGAAAAATATTCACCTTTCAAGGTTTCGAATTCAGCTTTCATGCGCTGGTGCGAAAAATTTTTAACTATTTTCCAATGTTTGAACTATTTTTGCATAGACTAAAGTACAAAGCAGTGAAA